TCATGTCTGTCTGTCTACCCATTCACATGCTTGTGATTTACTCTGGAAGGGTAATTCCAACTTTATCCCTGCTAAAGTTCAGGAAGTTTAGAGATACCCACAAGATCTGGCAAGTTGCTAATTCCATTGATGAATATTCCAACATACTCTTTGGCTATTGATTGACAATTGCCTTTTTCACACTTATCTTGATCTGTTTCATACAACTGTGCAAGTGAGAGAGACAGAGAGCGAAAGAGGGAGCACAAGAAAACAATTGGGGAGGGTGGTATGCACTTTTCTAAAGGGGATTCTGGGATGTGCTCCCAGTAATGACTGCATTTTTTCATACTGTAAATAATGCTCCACAATACATTGAAGGATGAAGAAAGCTTTTCCAGGAATCATTAAATTAAGACACACGAGCTCCTAGGACAAGCAAATGTCTGTTTCCCCCGCTTCTTTTCGTTCTCCCTACAAGAAGGAAACAATTAATTGAAATGAGGTAATGAATCTGAGGCTCCCAAATGGGAAATATCAGAAAGCTATGCCTATTTTATGGAGATGTAAGTTCTCAGATCTTGATCTCCTGGCAATACTTCCATCATGGCTTCTTTCCCTGGTGCGAAGAAAGGACCTGGCCTGAAAACCAGTGAATTAATAAGAGGCAGTGGAATGTTGTGGCTGTTTCCTTCTCAGCTTATAATGAGCTGTGTTCTATGCATCAAACACAATTCCTCTTTCAGTGAATTGATGCCCAGTTCTATGCAAGCTCTTTTACTTTGTCAAAGTATTGCACTTAATTAAATACTTTAAATATGGGAGGGGGGAGGGAGAGAGGAAGAGAGGGAGGTAACTGGATTTATTTTTGAAACCTTTATATTTTTCAGTCAGCTCAACAATAAATGCATTTCCCATTCTCAAGAGAAGTTTCCATTACTGACCTGCAGAGACAGCTGCAAATATACTTAGTAATTTTAAGTAATAAACATCATAATTTGGTTTTTGATCTCCACAACAATAGTCAAAATATGTAGTCAAATTGATTTCCCTCCAAACATTTTAAAAACAATAACTTGAGAAGTAATTTTGTTTTTTCCCCCCTCTTCATTTTATTAAACTCTAAAAGTTATGCAACACTAAAAGTGCATGTGTTTATGTCTGCATACGCAGAAGATGGGTGCAGAAGATGGGTGAATCATTTCACTGAGTTAAAAGGACAGGAGTAGGACAGAGGAGACTTCTGTCCACCTGGGATTATCTGATAAATAACTAATTGGGGGGCAAAGGAGACTGCAGAAGTCAATAGATAAGGTTTAATCCTTTACTGTGTCTGTATTTTGTCTGCTAAACTTTTTCTTAAGTATATAATCTTTGGTAAATTAAAGTATATTTCCATTTTAAACTTAAAGCATTTCAGTTAGCTAAAGGAATAAATATGGAAGAAATAAAGGAATAAATATGAAAATAAATAATTAAAAATGAAAAGAAGGACTAGGGGTGACATGATAGCAGTGTTCCAATATCTAAGGGGTTGCCACAAAGAAGACGGAGTCAACCTATTCTCCAAAGCACCTGAAGGCAGGACAAGAAACTAATCAAGGAGAGAACTAACCTTAGAATTAAGGATAAATTTCCTGACAGAATAATTAATCAGTGGAATGGACGGGCGGTAGTGAATGGGCCATGGTGGCAGCAGAGAATGGGCGGTGGCAGTGGCGAAAGGGCCATGGTGAATGGCTGTGGCGAACAGGCCACAGTGATCCCCACTGCCTAGAACAGCTGATCGGCAGTATTCCAAGAGGCAAATCCAATCACCAATCAGCTGCTTGGCAGCAAAGTCTCCAGCGTTCCCTGGCAGCAGCAGCAGCTCAGCTCAGCTGACTGGTGGTGGGCTCCATGGAATGGAGCCCTGACAAGCCATATGCTGTGGCTGCAATAATGTGCTGAAGCTGACCAGGCTGTTTGCTGTTTGCTGTTTGCTGCAAGGACGCTAGTCAGATGAATACCAGTGGACGCTGGGAGGCAGAAGCAGATTTTTTTTCTTGTTTTCCTCCTCTAAAACTATGTGCATCTTATAGTCCAGAGTGTCTTATAGTCTAAAAAATACAGTAAATGCTTAATTTAAGAGATATGTCTTCCCTAAAGGTAGAGTGAGTATGGAGTATCATAGAGAATGCATTACCAGAGAGACTCAGGATAAGTTTCATTGGATGAGGTTCTGTGACAGTGGACATCTTTAAGGGCCTGCCTCTTATGCAAATCTCCCTTCCTGAGATCACTAACAGGAGTGGTGATTCTTCAAACGATGAGATCCAAGCTATTTAAGGCTTCAGAGGTCAGACCAATACTTTATGATGCTCAAACAGTATTTGGCAAGCTGTTAAATGTCTAGAACTCATTAGAAGCTTAGACTTTGCACTAGGTGAAACTTCCAAACACTTTCAAGGCAGGATTCAACTCAACATGAACAACTATTGTTAAATCCATTTGCCTTGATATACTAGGATTAGTTGTGGAAATAATCCTCCTTGTCACAACCACCACTGTTACTGCTAAAATTTTGCAAAAATATTGATGACCATTAGATAGTAGCATTCTTTGACATCTAATAGTGTGTCTGGAGGTTAGGTAAGCCCATCAAATGTTTGTCTTTTTTATTATTTAAGTTGTGTTTGTTTTTGGCCACCATTACTATTTTAACTTTTGTTGCACATGTTTAATTTTATCCCTATGTGTGCTGCACAGAGTCACAATAGGCTGCTATGTAAATGGTTTTGATTTAATTAATTAATGTTTTTTTCACATGTTTATAGAGGATGGTATTGAATATAAAGTCATTTAGCAAAAAAGAAGTAAAAAGAAGTCATTTAGTAAATGACTTACTCTATGGTACTTATACTGTATATTCATTTCATTGGATGGGGTTGAAAGTGGTTAATAAATTAAAATAATGTGATTCAAACACGTATAAATAACTCATTTCTTCTTTATAAACAATATAACAGTATTTAAAATTGTATGTTTAATGCATTTTTTTAGAGCTTGCTTATTTTGGAAAGACAGTTTATTGTAACAAAGAAATGCACAGTATCTCAGGATTATGCAAAGTTGTTCTTTCCTTCAGTCATAAATCTTTGCAGTTTAGGGTAGAAATAATCTTCAGATTTGTCTTATTGGAGCTAGAATTCCCCAGCTAGCATGCTAGCTGGAGAATTATGGGAGTTGAAGTTCAGAGATTTAAAATTATCAAGGTTAAGAAACACTAGTGTACATACAGCTGAAATTTCTTTTAAACCCCGTTTTCCCATTCAATTTTGTTACTTATTTCTATGTATATACATATAGTACAATACATACAGTACAGTTATATCCAGCCACTTTAACTATTTTCTTTGAATTTAGGGAGTTCTGATTCCCATTTTTTAAAAATAACAACCACATGACTGAAATAACAAAGACTGGAATAAAATTTACTACATTTTCTTGCAGAAGAGTCATAAGTTCTGGTCAGTTTTTGACACGCAAAACAAAGGTCTGGGCTGCAAATTCTTTAATTTTAAGGGCATGTCTTAGTAGAAAACAGAGTAGATCTCTCTTATGACTCAAGTAAGCTGACCAAATATGTGCCATCTAAGATGATGGATGTCCCTTTGTCTTCTTGTAAGATGATGGATGTCCCTTTGTCTTCTTGCAAGTTTCCTATATCATTTGAAAATCACCTACACAAGTTAAATCCTATCATCTCTGTTTCTCCATGAGCCAGTACATTTCTGGCTATATTGAGATACACACACACACACACAAATTTTCTACAGTATTTGTAGGATGAGTGTTTTGCAGCTTATGAGCACTGTTTTCACTATGAGTGGAACTTGCCTCAACTTTATTCTCTCCCTGTGGTTCTAGAGATTCAACTGCCATAATCTTACATTTCTCCCCTTTATAAATAACAGCTAAATGTGCAAGGAGGAAAATGAACTCGAAATGCAGCCTGCATGAACTGAAGATCGAGGGGAGAATAGAAAATGAATGTCTGACAGTTGGAAGGAAGAAAGGATTTGCTTGTCTTGTTTTTCATTTGTCTTTAAATTGATTGGTGGCCAAGGTGACAGCATCTTGGCTTCAAACCACTGATCAGGCTTTATTATGAAACCCATCTCAGAAAAAAGTGAATCTGGCTAGTGTACACAGCACTTAATTAAACAAACAACACTGTCAAATACTTTTCAAATGCAACACTGTATTGTTGTCAAAGTGCCTCAAGTCTAAGCACTCTTTCTACTATGAGATGCTTTTCCAGATGTTTTTTCTGAAAAAGGATTTCAGCAAATCCACAAAGGAATGGTTTGTGATTATTAAATGATCGTCCTAACCCGAGCCATTTTAAATAATTACAAGCGGCTCATACGTAACAGGGACGCTCAAAACAATCCTAAACGTCCGGCGGAGAACGAAACGGAGTTCTTGCTGGCTACATTTGATCGACTCTCGTGTAAATCCAGCCGTGCAGTTCCTCCGGCAAAAAGAAGAAGGAGAAGGAGAAGAAGAAGAAGAAGAAGAAGAAGAAGAAGAAGAAGAAGAAGAAGAAGAAGAA